GAGGTTTCCCCAAGGGTCCCAGCCCAACTCTTGCACTGGTGAGAGTATTACATTTAAAAATAGTTTTATTAAAAAAAAAAAAAAAGTTGTATTTAATCCCTGACAACGGGAACTATTCCAAAGGTGAATGCAGATCCACCTTTTAAATTAGAACTGAGTCTCCCTCTTTCCTACTCGTGTTTTCCTCAGAGGGCGTGTTTTGTATGGGCACTGGCAGGGCTGGCCAGGTGTGGGGGTGGGGAGCTGCACAGCACTTGACTGGAGGTCAGTGACAAGGAAAGCGTCTTCCTCTTCTTGAGAACATTGCTGGGCCTACTTATTCATTTCCTCATTCATCAATTGCCTACTTGATGTGCCAGGGTTCCCTAGGTGTGGAGGAAGACATCGTCCCTTCCTAGATGAATTCATAGCCTTAGGCGAGAGACAGGAGAGCAAATGATTACAACACAATGCGATTAATGCTAGAGGAGGGGGTGCCCAGGGAGTCAGGTAAGGCTTTCAAAAGAGAGTAGACATTTGAATTGTGCTTTGAAGGACAAAAAATAAGTCGTTCACCTAGAAATGGGAAGCGGGATCATATGAGGAAGAGGGTATGCAGTAAGTAAAGGCATGAGATGTCCTATGAGAAGATGCTGCACAGAGGATGTGAAAAAAGAGGTGTTTGGTGGGGGGGGCATCTTTTTTTTTTTTTTAAGATTTTATTTATTTATTTGACAGACAGAGATCACAAGTAGGCAGAGAAGCAGATAGAGAGAGGTGGAAGCAGGCTCCCTGCAGAGCACAGAGCCCGATGTGGGGCTCAATCCCAGGACACTAGGACCATGACCTGAGCCGAAGGCAGAGGCTTTAACCCACTGAGCCACCCAGGTGCCCCGGGGAGGGGGGGCATCTTGCAAGAGGATTTCTGTGCCCCACTAAAGAGCCTGAATTTAATCATCCTCAAAGATAGAGAACCACGACTTTCAAAGTACCGGAATGGCACAATGATGAGAAATCATTGTGTGTCTGAAATCAGTAAAGAGGGTAGAAGCTGGGAGGCTGGGAGGCTGCTTAGACTAGTGCAAAGACCCAAATAAGAAATGGTCACTGGAAAGGAGGCTCCAGCAGTGAGCACGGGGAGCATAAAGTGGGGAGAACTATCACTTACTACTTTAAAGTTGGGGTGGGTGGTGGTGAGAGAAGAGGAGGGATTCTTGCAAATCTGATGATGTTGCATCATACTATGTTAGGAAACAGATGGGGGGTAGTTCTTAGAGGTGAAAGATAACAGTGAACATGAGTTGAGTTGTCAGCTCTTTAGCTTTGAAGTAGGCTGGGGACACAAAAGTAGTAAAAGTGCTTTCCAGTAAATTTCATCTGGTACTTCAGCTTTTAAGATTCTTACCATGAACTTAAAACAAATTAGGTAACCATGGGGATAGCTAAAGTCATTAGAGACGGGTCTTCTCCACTTGAGAAATCCTTTCCTAGTTCTTCTCTTAAATCACACATTGCCTTAGGTAATTGCTTGTCTGCCTTCCCTGCTAGAATATAAGATCTTGAGCATAGGGCCACATAATAGACACTCAATAAATACTTGATAAATAAATAATTTAATTCCTTTGGGTTTAGTTTTCTCAAATAGGAAATGGACTAATAACTCTGTCATTGTCTATCCCATATTACATATTACATGGGGTTGTTAAGAGGAAAAGATACAGAAATCCTTTAACACTGTGCATTTTCTATTTTATTAGTTATTTTTTATTACCATTTTACTATTAATGTTCTACCCAGTGAGGAGAAAGGAATGGGATATGTGACAATGGATTGGGAGACCAAATCTAGAAATATAAGCTAGTTTGTGCCTCTGCAGAAATAGGGGAAATAACTTAGCTATGGTATCCTTCCTGCATATGATTTTTAAAATATCTTTTTTAAAAAAAGATTTTACTTATTTGACAGACAGAGATCACAAGTAGGAAGAGAGAGAGAGAGAGAAGGGGAAGCAGACTCCCCGCTGAGCAGAGAGCCCAGTGCGGGGCTTGATCCAAGGACCCTGAGTTCATGATCTGAGCCAAAGGCAGAGGCTTAACCCACTGAGCCACCCAGGTGTCCCGATATCTTTTTTTTTTTTTTTTTTTTTTTAATTGGAGGGATCTTTTGTCTCAGCAAATGGAAATAGAGCTGGCCATGACTAGAAAGTCACAAAGGAAGTGGACTATTTAGAACTCGACTATAGGAATGCAGGATTGAAGACTACTCCTTTACATGTTATGGAGTATTAGTTTAAGTTATCTTAGTTTAAGTTATCTTAGTCTGGGGTTCTTTAACTGTTTATCTTAGTTTAAGTTATCTTAGTCTTGGGTTCTTTAACTGTTGATTATAGAAACATCCAAATAAGGCAGTTTAGTAGAAGGAGTAACAGTCTCCAAGAACAAGAGGTAAAACTGAATCTCATGAGAGGAGGGTACAAGGCACTGGAAGTTGGGGACTTCCAGTGGGGACTAAGATTAAAGACCCAGACTTTCTCTCTGGGTCTCTTATTTACACTCTTTTTTACACTTTTGTCTGCACTCTGTTTCTCTTTTCCCTTTTAAGGTAGGCTCTTCATCAGTTAACGCTTGGTGGAAAACAGCTTCCTCAGCCCTCAAATATCCTTAGTTAGTGCCGGCTCCTGACTGACTTCCCATCTTGGTCCAGTTCCTAAGTCTTAGGAGAGAAAATCTTACTGGCCTAACTTGGTCCAGGACTCCGCTTTGGACTGGTCAGCTGTGGAGAGGCAGAATCATGCAGGTAATGTGAGCCTGGGGGCTGGGCCCACCCTTGGCAGAACTCTGAGTGATGGGAATTCTAAGAGAAAAGGTAGTAGGCTAGGCAGACGTATCACACGAGTTGGCAATGACCGGACAGACACTTAAATGAAATCCGTTTCAGCCACACTACACATGTAGTTCTGCAAACAAGGTTGCATATCAGAAGTACCAGGAAAGCCTTTTAAACATAGATTCTTAGAACCTCCTTTTCCCACCAGTGAATCAGAATCTTGAGGAATAGGGCCCAGGAATCATTATTTTCATAAAGTACCCCCAGAAGATTATGATGTGAGTGGCATTTCAAAACCCCTGATTCCAAAGACAGGCCCAAAATGCCAAATAAATACATCAATAGAAAAGGGAAGTTACTCATACAGAACATTCTTACATACACTAAACGGGGAGGGTTTTTTTTGGAGAGTGTATGTTTTCTTCAAAATATAGTTTTGTCTTATGATTATAAAAATCAGAAATGCTTATTATTAAAAAAATCCTCATTTTGGGGGGCCTGGGTGGCTCATCTGTTAAGCATCTGCCTTTGGTTCAGATCATGGTGCTGGGATGGAGTCCCACATCAGGTTCCCTACTCAGCAAGGATCCTGCTTCTCTCTCTGCTTGCTGCTATCCCTGATTGTGGGCTTACACTCCTGCTCTCTCCCTCAAATAAATAAAAATCTTTAAAAAACTATTAAAAATCCCCATTTTGACATGCTAGCTTTCCAGACTTTTGTTTGCCTAAATACACATGTATAGCTTTTGTTAAAAAAATGAAATAACAGAATATATGCTCCATTTTGTAGTCTCTTTTGTTCATTTAAAGATAGATCATATTACAATGGAGGTAAGTCTACTCAATTTTCAGTGGTTGTACAACACTGCAATCTATGGATATTATTATATGTAATTCTTCACTGTTGGATATTTTTCCCTCCTTAAAAAATGTCCAGTAAGTGGAATTGTTGGGTCAAAGTTTACCAACTTTAAGGCTTTTGATACATATTATAAAATAGTTATCTGCCCTTCTCTCCAAGTTTCTACCAGTTTATAATTCCCCAGAAAGTTTTTGAGAGTACTTGTTTCTCCACCCTGGCGATGTTTGCCTGGAATTTCAATTTCATTCTATCCAAACTGTACATATCCCTTTAAAATAAAACTTATTCCTTAAATTGAATACGTGGTTACAATACAGACCTTTTGTGCAGTAAATCAAATAGCTGATAACTTGTAGAGATAAAGGAAGGGAACTAAGAAGACTGCATTGTGCTATAGATGGTTTTTAAAAAGTCTTGAAGGTCTACTACAAGGAGAGTGACTAGAGAGAACCATAAAATCTTATCTAAGGTATATTAAGTAGTCTTGTAACTGGAAACTATGTTTACAAGCTAATTAAATTAGCAGAGATGCAGAGAGGAAGAGAACACTTGAGGTATTCCTGTCTTGGAAGAACAGATGTGCTGACTTCTGGTGTAAGATCTCTATGTATTACAGTTTAAAAGGGCATGGTAGAGCACATGAAATGCCACTACACACTCCCAAGGATGGCTAAAATAAGACAGACAATAACAAATGTTGACAAAGATGTGGAGAAATTGGAATACTCACACATTGCTGGTGGGATTTCCACTTTGGAAAATACTTTGGCAGTTTTACAAAAAGAGAAATGCAGAGCTACCGTATTACTCATAAATTCCACTCCAAGGTATATACTCAAAATAAATAAAATCTGGGACGCCTGGGTGGCTCAGTTGGTTGGGTGGCTGCCTTCGGCTCAGGTCATGATCCCGGTGTCCTGGGATCGAGTCCTGCATCGGGCTCCTTGCTCATCGGGGAGCCTGCTTCTCCCTCTGCCTCTGCCTGCCATTCTGTCTGCCTGTGCTTGCTCTCTCTCCCTCTCTCTCCCTCTCTCTGACAAATAAATAAATAAAATCTTTAAAAAAAAAAATAAAATCTTAAGTCCACACAAAAACTTGTACATGAATGTTCAAAGCCGCATTAATCATAACTTCAAAAAGTAGGAACAACCCAAATGTCCATCAACTGATGAATAAATAAAATATGGTATAATCATACACTGGAATATTATTCATCTATGCTACAACAGGTACTCTGAAAATATGCCACAGACACTAAAGGTCACATATTGTATGATTCCATTTATATGAGACGTCCAGAACAGGCAAATCTACATACAGAGAAAACAGATTAGTGACTGCTAGGAACCCAGGGGAAAGGGGAAATGAGAAATGACTGCTAATCAGTGTGGGCTTTGTTTTTAGGGTGATGAAAATATTCTGGAATTAGTGGTGACAGTTACATAAATCTGAATATACTAAAAACCACTGATTTGTATTTTAAAAGGGTGACTTACACAGTATGTGAGTTAAATTTTTTTGGTAGATAAATAGAGATAGGATGGTTTCATAGCACCTGGGCATGGGAATAAGCATGTGAATAAAGAAATAGAGGGATCAGATTCTAAGAAGGACTTGTAGGCTATTGGGAGTAAACTAGATGTCTCCTACCCCATAATATAGGGTTGTCACTTATTCCCCTTTAAGAAGCCCAAACTGGAGACCCTGAATACTCCAGTAGCTTGTGGTCTGTTTTGGTACAGGCCTCTTTAGAGGTAGGGCTGCTGAATTCACATTAACATCTTCATAACGGACTCTACTGGGAACCATACAATCAGCTTCCCAGGTCCCGACCTCCCCTGTGCAGAATGTTCCTTGTACAGAAGCACTTCCTCCTGGTTTGGTAATAACTGCTATGAGAACCTTGCCACTTTCCTCCAGGGAGGTAGGTTACTTTCAGGGTACTTGGAGTGGGCAAAATGATAAACCCATCAGAGATGCCTTCTACAATTAGCTTTTCTGCTCATGAAGTAGGATTTATTATAACTAAGTATATGTTTTATTAAAAGGCAATTCTAGATTCAGATTAATATGTGTGTGGGGAAAAAAGACTATCTCCCAGTTCTCTCTGCCTGGATTTCAAGTCCCCATATAATGAGCTCTCATGTTACTTACCCCATATCTTAGTGTCTCTTTTGCCCATTCAGTGTTTCTACTACAGTCACTTTAGGCTCCCAACCCTCTGGCTCCTGGCATCACACCCTTCCATGCTCCCAACCGATCTTACTTATCATGCTATGTTTAGCTCCACTCCCAGGAAAAGAGCCCAAGTACTTCTATTTGAATGCCACTGTGTGATGTATGAAAGTTTTTCCCCACTTTTTAAAAGCTCCTGCACATAGATAATCATGAGGTGATCACATGTCAGCTTCTGTGTGCTGCTGGAATTAGTACAACAAAGCTCTCAGTTTTGTTTCTCCTCACCACAATGGAAGAAAAATACAGAAATGAGCGGTAGGATCATTTGCTAGTAAAAAATGGGGGTCTGGGATTCCACAGTCATTTTGGAAACTGACTAGAAAGAGTTGCTCTCCTCACTCATGCCCGGACAGAGTGTGGCCCAAGGGAATGGGGGGAGGTGAGATGAAATCCTTAGCCAGCAGTTTTCAGCTCCTCTCAAGTCCAGAGGGCATCTATTCCCAAGTTCATCCAGGGGACAGCAGGAGCACATTCCTTTCAATGCTGGGCCTCAGTGTGCCTGTGAGCAGATGGATGAAGATCTTGCAAGACTTTAGTGAGGCAAACACAAGCTGAAGGGCTGGAGGCAGGGCTCTTTGTGTTCTTCCTAGCTTGAGAAGTAGAGAACCTAATGTGTACTTGGTGGTCTGCACAGTCCTAAACAGAGAACCATGACAAATAAGGTATTTTTATTGCTTTTCGAAAATCCCTTCTTTCACATACAAACATTCCTTCAGTTAGGTCCTCTGTTATGTTATACACTCTCCTCTGGTCACGAGCAGGTATGGACCTATTTAGCCAAGATTAAGTAGGCTGTCTCCGAACTTCCCATAGGGAAAATTAATAGCTGGTTCTTTTTGTTTCACCTGGTTTCTAGCTTGAGAACTCCAAGTACTAAGAGACACAGGATAAGGATGGGAGAGGCTGAGCCTTTCTGAGAGTCTACTCCTCTGCTGAATGCCACTTTGAAGGGAAAAAAGAAGTCGAATGGCAGTTTCCAGTCTATTCTAGGTTGGCCCCTTGGAGGCTCTGGCTTCTGGGTAATGTCCACAAAGGTCACAACAGTTGTCAAAGGTACATCTATTATTTGCTGAGAAATCTGCAGGAAGAAAGTCCATGACAGGTCAATGCTTGGAACCCATTCATATAGCTCTCTAACTTGATTGTTACTATTACTTTCCCTGAAAAAAGACCAAAACCAAATTGCTCTAAGCAGGATATGCCTTTTTCTCGCATTGATACTATGTAGTTCTCATTCTATGATACACAGGAAATGAATTTTGTAGCAGCAGTCCACGACACTAGGACTGTTAACAGTTACACCTACCTAAAGACTGAAAAACTGACTCTAGCTTCCCTCAAATGGGGAGCTGGCTGATATCAAAGAGGCCAGATGGGAAAACTGCTGCTGTTATGTGCTTAGCAGCTTTACCTTATCAAGTCCCAGAAGGCTCCAGGCTCTGAAGCAGTACACATGTGCACATACTAGTGGCATTTCTAGTCCACTTCAATTGCAGAAAATGTGAAACTTCATGGGAAAAACAAAGAACTCATAATGTCGATAAAAAGCCCATCAGATTGACAGAATCTTAGGGTTAGAAAGGATCCTCTCAACCGCCCAATTCAAGTCAAATGAAACAGATGCTCCAGGAAGAAGGGACCTCATCAAACTGACTCAAGTATCTTTTTTCTTTCCCCCAAGACTTTATTTATTTATTGGCAGAGAGAGACACAGCGAGGGAGGGAACACAAGCCAGGGGGAGCAGGAGAGGGAGAAGCAGGCTTCCCGCCAAGCAGGGAGCCCAATGCGGGGCTTGATCCCAGGACCCAGAATCATGACCTGAACCAAAGGCAGACTAGTAACAACTGAGCCACCCAGACGCCCCTCAAGTATCTGATCTAATACTACACATAGCTTTTGGTAGATACAGTTGTAGCCTGATGACTGAAACAAGTTTATGTAAAATGAATTCCTTTTGTTCTCTGTGCTTACCAATCAGACTTCTGATTATAATTTGACAGTAAATAACTATCTTGTTGAACCAGAAATGATTATTTCCTCCACTCACCTTTGTCTACCCTGATGCTACATATTATCTGCTGTGGCCTTTGGCAACAATAAAACTAGGCTCTGGGAACACAACTTTGTCTGGAATAACCCTTTTAGGTACTTAAAAAAATGGGTATGGGGCCAATGCTGTGATGATCTTACATGTCATATTAACTCTTTGGAATCTTTTTTTAAAACAGTGTAGTTCCTGAGGGACTTGGCACAGAAGTAATGTAACTTTTGGGGCACTGAAAGAACCACATGCATTCCAGGACAGCCAGCTTAGGCTAAAGCTGAAAAGGCAACACTGACTCCAGCCAGGAATGGAAGACTGGCTGAGACTAACGAAAGAAAATGGGGGGACAGAATATAACATGATGGCAGGCATGAGGTAGGGACAGAAAGTGGTTACTGAATTATACCCCCTCTGTGTGATCAGGCAACCACCCCTTCCCCACCTCAATAAGAGATTGGATAATTTAAATAAGAGAAATTCTGGATTTAGGGACATTGGGCATAAAGGAGGACAGAGTGACGTATGGAACTAAAAATAGGAAAATTTTTCTGTATAATGAAATCCTTTCCCTCATTTAGCTCCAAAATGCTGACAGATGGTCTTATATCCCTACCTGTCAGTCAGTAATCAGGAGGGTCTTTTCTGGAGAAAATGATCAGTTTCAGCAACAAGACAAAAAGACTGACATTTGACAGTTCCATAACCCCAAAAGCAACTGTACCTAACTGTCCTACTGTGAAGGCCACCAGTCAGCAAGTCTCATTCATGAGCACAGAGCTTTCAGTTAGCTTTAACTGCTTACTCTTAGGTTGGATAGACAGCTAGGGACTGCCAGATGTGTGGGGAAGCTTCTCACATTAAAGAGGAAAAACTGAACCAAGTGAACAGAATAAATAAAACAGAAAAATATCAGAACAAACAGACAAGGAAAGATAAAGATCAAAACTTAAGATCTTTATTTTTTTTTTAAGTTTTATTTAAGTAATCTCTACACCCAAGGTGGGACTTGAACTCATGACCCTGAGATCAAGAGTCATGAGCTCTTCTGACTGAGCCAGCCAGGTACCCCAGATATTTAAATATACATAAAAAGGGATATTATGAAATGAAAGAGAAAATAAGAGCTCTTAGATTTTAAGAATGGATAGTCAGAAAAAAAAATCAGTAAAAAGGTTAAAGACAGGTGAGGAACTTTTCTAGAAAGAACAAAGAGCTAAAGAGAGAGATAGACAATATAAAAGAAAAAAAATTAGAGAAGCAATCTAGTGACCCTGTAACAGATTAACAGGAGTTACAAAAAGAACAGAGAAAATTGCATGTGTGATTATTAAATGATAACTGAAAATTCTCAGTTTTCAGAATAAGAAATATCCAAAATTGTTTGGCATAATGAAAAAAAAAAAAAAAAAAAAAAAAAAACCTACCCAAGGCATAATATTGTAGAAGCTTCAGATCTTAAAATAGCTTCTGAACAGCACTGAGAACTAGAAGACAATGGAAGAAAGCCTTCAAATTGTGAGCAGAAAACATTTCCAATCTAGAATTCAATCTAGAATGCCTGGATAAATGATCAATCATAATTTAAATGATAATAAAGATGACAGATGCTTGAATAAAGTTATTCTTAGGTAAACTAAAATAAAAATGTACTTTATGTGTGCTTTCTTTTCGAAGAGGTTATTAGATTTTGAGCTCCATCAAAACAAGAGAGCCAACCAAGAAGGAGAAAGCAGTGTCTGGCAAACAGTGACTCTAACACAAGAAACAAGAGGAATTCCTAGGATGATGGGAAAGTTCCATAACAACAGGTGGTCAGGAAGTAGTTTATACTACATCGAGTAATGGAGGTCGCTATGAAGAAAATACAGAGGAAAAAGTAGAACTGTTAATATCTCATGCCAAGTTCAACTGTTTAGAAAACTGCATTGAGAGAGATTTTAGAGATGTTGGAGAGTGTGAGATGTCTTAGCTTTTAGCTCAAAGAAAACTAAAGAAATAAAATATGAGGTAATTATTAATTTCAGAAATAAAGCATTTTGCTTTCCATGAGGACAGGGATGATGTCTATCTTGTTTTCCATGCATCATATCTACAGCATCCACCATAGCACTTGGCACAAAATAGGCACTCAATAAAGATTTTTTTTTTTTTTTTTGGACAAAGGAGTAGAGGTATTTTTGGAGATAGGGCACCAATACAAAGTAGCAAGAGATAATAAAACACATGGAAGAAAAGCATACCATAGCTATTTAATAGCCAGCAGTTACAGATCAGTTTGACCCCCTTATTCTCTCAACACTGTAATTAGGATCCCTAAAGGTTGTGCTTCCTTCCTTCATATATTTATTTATAAATTAATACTTCAAATGAAATGCCTTTTTTCCCCCATATATTAAAATATTGCCTCCATAACTGTGTGGAGGTTTGGAACTAATACAGTCTAGCAGACAGTCCATAATTAAAAGGAACTTGAATGCACTTGCCAGGTCACTGGATAATACTGAATGTTACTGGCCCATTTTAGAATTGGTATTTTAGTACCACAGGAAGAACAAGGTTTCTAAGTTCAGTGTGTTATTCATAAATTCTGAAGACTCAAGTTTTTCTATTGCATTTTAAAAGTTATGTATAAGCAAAATTAGAGAATTCACATTAGCTTTAAAATGTAGTCAGAGGGGCACCTGGGTGACTCAGGGGGTTAAAAAGCCTCTGCCTTCGGCTCAGGTCGTGATCTCGGGGTCCTGGGATCAAGCCCCGCATCAGGCTCCCTGCTCAGTGGGGAGCCTGCTTCCTGCCCCCCTCTCTGCCTGCCTCTCTGTCTACTTGTCTCTGTCAAATAAATAAATAAAATCTTTAAAAAAAATAAAATAAAATGTAGTCAGAGATGTACTTTCTAAAAGTGTTTTTCAAATTGCAAATTGTGACCCATTAGTGTCTAGCATTAAACAAAAAACAGAATCAACAACAGAATAGACAATATCACACAGTGTATTGCATAAAATATTGTTTCCTAAAATTTTTGTTTCAGTTTTATACATGTGTGTGCTATAATGTGGGCTATGTTGTAAAATACATTTCTTACCATGGGTGACAGCCAACAAAAATTGAAAAATACTGCTCTAATGCCTGCTTATCTCTGGTTTTTTTTGCTTTAAACATTCTTAATATGCTACTTCTATGGAAATTTGGGAAAAAGTTATGATGATAAAAATAATAACAATGTTATGATGAGCAATATTTATTGAGTATTCACTATGTGCCAGGAAATGTACTATTTTACTTTTATGCTCTCAATATTTACAATTCAATGAAGAATTATTATTAATCTCCATTTTATAGATGAGAAAACTTAGATTTAGAGAAAGAAAATAACTTGATTTAGACCTAGGTCTGACTGACTCAACACCCATGCTCCCTAAACTGTAAAAAATACGTCTCCAAGATAATCTAAAAAGCTTGATAATCCATTTTAAAGATAAAGATGAAGTGAATAGGGGCGCCTGGGTGGCTCAGTGGGTTAAGCCTCTGCCTTCGGCTCAGGACATGATCTCAGGGTCTTGGGATCCAGCCCCACCTCGGGCTCTCTGCTTGGCAGGGAGCCTGCTTCCCCTTCTCTCTGCTGGACTCTCTGCCTACTTGTGATCTCTCTCTCTTTGTCAAATAAATAAATAAAATCTTAAAAAAGAAAAGATGAAGTGAATATTATAATTCTATAAAGGTTCAGAGCCTTGATCCTGTGACGCTACATTGTTCTTGTCACTCACTTATTGTTTTGTGTGTGTGTGTGTGTGTGTGTGTGTGTGTGTGTTTAAACATTTTATTTATTTTTTTGACAGAAAGAGACACAGTGAGAGAGAGAACACAAGCAGGGGGAGTGGGAGACAGAGAAACAGGCTTCCCACCAAGCAGAGAGCCTGATGCGGGTCTCGATCCCAGGACCCTGGGATCATGACCTGAGCCGAGGCAGATGCTTAACGGATGAGCCACAAGGCCGCTCTATTGTTTTGGTTTTGACTGATCCAGAATATTCTGCAAAAGTAATTGTTTCTTTCTAGAGATAATTTTATTTTTAAATTTAAAAAAGTTTCTATTCAGATAGCATACATATTGTATTTTATTAATTCCCAAACTTAAAGGTCCCTTTAAATGCTCAATTAGTACAAAATTATAAACAGCAAAGTACCATGTGGGTAAACCCTATTTAATTCATGGGTTTGTTATGAGGATGCAACATTTATTAAAAGAAATTTGTAAAAAACACTACCAGTAATTATCACAAAGTAAATGACAATAAATGTTTAGATATTATTATCATACAAGAAGACAGGGAAGTGTTTTGCTTAAATTCTTCCTTGCTTAGTGGTTTGTTTTTAACTCGGGGACTTCCAAAAATTTTGCTACTTCACTTTTTATAGTGAGAGGAATTTAAAGTGTTTCTAAAGCAACATCTGTACAATGAAGTCATTCAGACAGTTTGATTCAAAATTTAACTAACCATCTAGCAGCTTCATTCCAAGGGTCATAAACACAAATGCTTACTGTTCTAAGTAGAGAACCTGAATGAGAGAGTGGGATGGCTAAGGATGGGTAGGCATAGGTTATGTGCAAGGGGCCCTCTATTTATAAGTGGAAACAACCATTCAGTGACAAGAGATTTTATGCCAGGCAGGAGTGTAGGACTGCTATTGCTAGATTTTCAAGAGAAGTCAGAAATCTGGATGTCAACATGAAATTTCCTGATTTTTCAATGTGGCACAAATTTAAACAAAACAAAACACTGTGGGTAAAACGAAACAAGTGTATAGTCTAACTCTAGCCCACAGCCTACAGTGTGCCACCCAGCTTTACTTTTTTTTTTCTTTTAAAGATTTTATTTATTTATTTGACAGGCAGAGATCACAAGTAGGCAAAGAGACAGGCAGAGAGAGAGGAGGAAGCAGGCTCCCTGCTGAGCAGAGAGCCCGATGTGGGGCTCAATCCCAGGACACTGGGATCATGACCTGAGCCGAAGGCAGAGGCCTTAACCCACTGAGCCACCCAGGCGCCCCCAGCTTTACTTTCATGCCCTCACTCAGATACAGAAGCTGACTGACACAGCCTACATGAGACTGCTACCAACCACATGGCCAGTGGGTAGGGAGAAAATCACAGGACATAGATCTTCTGAAAGTTTAACTCTTCTTTTTACTTTAGAAGCTTTGGGAACATGTACACTAGCTTTCTCTGAATAGTCTCTTGCTATTCTACGAAAAAAATTTCATAGGGAAATCCTGAGAGACAAGCCTGTGTGGATACGGATTTGAAGTAGAGGACAAATAATCAGAATATAAATGCATTAAGAGAAAGTGAGTATGTTTATAGGACTTCAGGAGAAAATATCCACTCATGACCGAAGAAGTAAGAAAGTCTTTCAATACAGATGATAAAATCATCTCTTTATATAGAAATAAATATTTGTATTTACTTAACTTTTCTGATATGACACTATTGTTTCACAACTCCTCTTATGTTTATAGGGGCATGGCAACTTTCATGAGGGTGAGTTTCTCAAGTCAGCCCTTAAAGTGACAATTTTTGTATAGTCAACATGACCTTTGCACATCCTTTAAATCGCCATAAGTAAAGGCATATGATTTTGTATATCCCACACCACTTCTCCGTACGTTCAACACGGTAATTTTTGGTCCATGATTGGAATAGATTCTGTCTTCAGTTATGCATGAATGAAACACAGCTGAAATTCTCAATTGTCAACCACTTATGCCAGTTAGATGTGAATGACTATAAAGTGTGATTTTGTAGAGGGGGAAAACTAACCCAAAAAGCTAACCTCTCCTAAGTACTAGAATAAAATAATGATTAAAATATCTACATAAGAGAGAGGCACTGGGTCACTTCCATGCCTAGGAGAACCAGAGATTCAAAGAAAGAAGAATACTCTTGTGGGTATCTTCCCAAACTACCTGGGTGCTTGCAAATAAAGATACAGTTTAGAAAAACAAAACAATTTATTCAGTGTAGGATTTGTAACAGACTCAAAGAGTCTTATAGAAATACTGCTATTTTATTCAGTAAACCAATACAGAGAAAAAATGGAGTGCTCTCACTAATAATTTCGGGTAACTTGAGTTTCAACCCTATCTGTAGGCAAAGAGCACTAAGGTACTCAACCCTGTTATAAGAAGGAGCTAAAGATATTTTATTTTTGGCCTACATGTAGTGTCTAGTTTATTTCTTTTCTGGGATATAAATGCAATGACATATAGGTAATAATTTCAATTAGTTTTAGTTTTCATTAGAAGTTAATAAACTGGCATGCAATTTATATGTGAATCAGTTCACTGGGACTTAATCATTTTTGTTTTTGCAATTCTAAAGCTAAGGATTAGATACTAAAATCAAGGCAGATGTGTTAAAGGTGTCTTAACACACATCATAAACAGCAGGTATATGTTTACTATGTAGTAAAATTATCTGTCTTAATGGAGTGCAACCAATCAAGAATTGATGACTACCAGCTAGCCCCAGCAAAAGCTTTAAGCAATTAAGCCTTAAGCTCAGAGACTCTGATAAGTATGTGACTGTCATATTGAATGCACAGTTATGGGGAATGTTTTCTGTAGTTAAATCAACTGGTATAGTAACACTGGTATGATAATTGAAAAGACTTAACCTGTATTACAGTCTGGGTTCAGGAAATTAAAAGAGAAAAGAAACTGGGGAAAAGGATACAGATTGTTTTTATCATGACAATATGCTAATTTCAATAACCGGCCAGAGGGACTGACTTAGAAGTTGTGTCAGCTCATTCAAACCAAATGTTGGCTGGTAGCATAAATTGGCTCTCATTGTCAAAAAGTGATCTGCTTAGGGCGCCTGGGTGGCTCAGTGGGTTAAGCCTCTGCTTTTGGCTCAGGTCATGATCCCAGGGTCCTGGGATCGAGTCCTGCATTGGGCTCTCTGCTTGGCAGGGAGCCTGCTTCCTCCTCTCTCTCTGCCTGCCTCTCCGCCTACTTGTGATCTCTCTCTGTCAAATGAATAAATAAAATCTTTAAAAAAAAGGTGATCGGCTTATCATATAGCTTGTAAGACAACCTAGGCATTGCAAGGCTTAGTGGTCCTTTATGAGCCATGACTTACCTTTACGGATTGGTACCGGTATAGGAACCGGGCTCCTGACACATGAGCTTGTGGGTTGGACTGGAGGCCTATATATGCCCACAATACCTGGATCTCCAGGGAAACTGGTATGACACAGCAGGAAGTGCAATGCATAGCCTGTAGAAGGGTAAAGAAGCATCTGCTTGAATTGCTGATGGTTGCCTATAATCAGTTACCATGCATTAAGTAGCTACTGTTTTTTAAACATTATATATAACAGAGAAGGTAATATGTCTTAGAGAAAGAACACAAAAGTTCACAACAGATCATCCTATTAGATCTTAAAAAATTAATATTCTAAAATGGGAACGACTAACATAGAGATTAATAAAAGGTGAGCTCATGTACACTGGTTATGAGAAGTGTTCTATTAGTGGTACATAGTCAGTGCTGTGGAACGCCAAGACAAACTGCCACTTCTGGTTAAGGATGGCTTCATGGGACGGGAATGAGTAGTATGTGACTGGAAGGAGTGGTGGTGGTAAAGGAAATTCAGGCAGAGAAATGGCATATAAAAAGGTGTGCAAGTAGAACAGCATATGATGTCATGGAGGGACATTCATTGATTAAAAACTGAATAATAGTGGCTGAGAGTCATCTATGTGCCAGGCATGATGGAGGCACTGGCCTTGAGCACACCACTTGAGTGAAGCCAAGGATTTGGACACAGAAGCAGTGAAAGGTTAAGGAAGACATTTCCTTCTAGGAGAGTCCCATCATCTATAGAAACAGGACTGGTTTTAATTTTGATATCCATAATTTACACACAAAAGAGGAAAATAAATTTTTGTGAGAATGTGTTATTTGTCTCCTCACCGAAACACTGCAGTTGCTGCTGAGAATCCTCGTCCACTCACTCTTCCGGGCCGGGTCAGCATTACCAAAGATGGCAACGAGTTCTGGGCTGGTCTTTCCATGAAGAGCCTCACAAGTCTCCTGCTGTAAGTGGCTGCAAGCCACCTTTTTCAGCCTGAAATGAAACACTGCGGAGGCTGCAGTTCAATGTTAACATATTAATCCAAACATTAAAAATGATACTATAAAGTAAATGAGAGGAAATAATCCTTATTATTAGATATAGAAGACTGTCAGAAAACTTTTAGCAATATTAACATTATTTAGATTACAAACTCTAACTAGCAGTCATCCAAAATATAAAAGTTGTCCTATCAACATATTCTCTACAGAGACAAAATTGTGGAAAGTGAGGCAGAAGCAGAGTGACCTGAGCTTGCATCCAGATACTGCATTCACTCCAAATTGTACTTCATGTCTCTTAACAGAGCATATTCCATCACCCTGACTCTGTAAGACGGTCATCTGAGGCAGAAAGCGATGGTCAAGGATAGTATAACAGAATAAAAAGAAGGCCGATTGGAAAATTCACACTCTTATTGTGTCCTTAACACTGTATTTTTCCAATGTCATGACACTGTTCAAATCACAAATTTGTTTTTTAATCTAGTAATTGAAAAACACACAGAGACAAGAACTATTTCTCCCAAAATGGCTAACCATATAACAGTATAAAACTATTTCATTAAAACAAACAGGAAGTGAGTCATGATCCTTACCTTCAGCTAGTTTAACACATTTTAAAGCCTTTGGTGGCAACAATTTTGAGAACATAATGTATTAATGGCTCAGTAAAGAAAGTCCTGAATACCTAAAAAATCAGGGGACCTCAGAATTGGGATACCCAGAAGATGAGCAGCCACAGTTTTTCTCATCAGGCTGCAACAGGCTACCCAGCTCCAAAAAAGGATACAGGGTGACTTAAATCACCAGTTATGGCCAAAAGTGGCTTCCCAACAAGATAGCCAGGATTTCCACTTCTAGGACGAGTAAAAGAAGTAGCTATGCTCTGTTGAAAAGCCTGCAGAAAGAGGGAAAGTCACTTACAGAGGAAAGCATGCTCTCACATCTTCCACTGCCTGGCTTCATACCCTTCTTTATCACAAAGCAGTAAGGCCGCTGCACTGAACAATCTGGCTCCCTTCCACAGTGGAGCGTTTTGCAGAAGTTTCTTGCAAAACTTCCGTGTTTTACTTTTTATTCACTAAAATAGGTCCTAAGTGATCTTAAAATTCTTCTAAGGATTACAACCAAGGATCGACCAACCCTGTTTCTCAAAAATTACTGTCAATTGAGGGCTATGTTCAGCCTGGCTAAAATGAGAAGAATTTAAACATAATTTAGAAGTATCTTTTAATTAACTACAGACGTTCCAGAGATAAACTAAGAGACACGGGACTTGGTTGATTACTTGAGGGCAGAGTGAAGAAGAAACAAGAGTCCGCTAGGTTCAAAAAGAAGAAGCAGAAGAAAGTCAAAAGATAGTTACCAGGATTGGAAAGTTAGATTAAGTGGGAAATGAATAAAATGCTGACTGCTGTCACATTATATTTTGCCATGTTCATAAGTATACATAAGCAAAAATTTGTTGTAAGTATATAAACTCAAATAATGCAGAAATATAAAGAGTAAAAGTGTGAAACAAAAACCTGCTGAACGCGCAAAAATATGAGAAAAGGTAGTTAAAGAATTTCTGTGGGAGGTTGGCTGAGTTAATGATTCAAAGTGACTCTTTTTTTCTAAAAATGGAGTTTGGATTTGAGACTAAAATACTGCTTCATTGGGGGGCCAGATAATCTGAGAAAATGTTACTGAATAAATGTTGTTAAATATCGTTTGTAGTTAAATTATGAAATACTAAATGCTGAAGCCTCAACTGACAGATTGTAGGCCTTTTTTTTTTTTTTTTTTTAGGCTGGGTGTGGAACCCTAGGCCTTCATATTCTTAATCTATTCTGCATGCATCACAGAAGCACAGAAATACTGAATTTCTAATTTCTAATTCAGTATTTCTGCTCCCCTTAGTCCCCCATAGAAGAAGAGTTCTAACCCTGAAGCGAATGATAAAGTGTTGCTCTAAGGAAGTGCCTGGCTCGACAGTCAGGTTGGTTTGTCCAAAACTGACAGAGACTTTCTGGATTCCAAAAGTCCCATTCGTCTCTATCTCATAGATGACCTGAAATACAAAAGTAGAAATCAATTAATATAAATTGTTTAATGGGCCAATTATACAGAAGATTTTCTGTCTCTAAGAGTTTTATTATACCTGCATGAGGGTACAACATAGTGACTATAGTTAATAATAATTTATTGTATATTTGAAAGTCATTGAGAGTTGGTCTTAAAAGTTCTCATTGCAAGGAAGAACGTATAACTGTGTAGTGATGAATATCAACTAAACTTACCGTGGTAATCATTTCACTATATGTGTATTTTTGTGTGTGTATATGTATGTATATATGAAATCATGTTTTACACCTAAAACTAATGATATGTCAATTATATCTCCAATAAAAGAAATAACCGAATGAGGGAGACTAAACAAGTAATCTTAAAAATACCAAACACAAATGCCATGAAGAGAAAGACTTCATATAATATCTACACATGAAAAACAGACTGGATAGAGCTCTTTGAAAGGGTTCATGGGAGAAGTTTATGGTAAGGATTGAAAGGGGAAAAAATGAGTTTTGACTGTGTGCAGAGAAGATGAGTAGAGAGGGAGCATGGAATGGACACCCAGTTTACTTGGCTCTCCCAATGTCTGAGGATGAATGAAGATAACAGCTAGAGATGGAAGTCATAAGCAATTGAAGGTAACCTTCGATTTTGGGTAGTCCTTACAATGACGCTTAAGATAATTCTTCCTTCTGTAGGATGATCAAAAGGGAGAGAGGAGGAAAAGAAGTTGACTCTTCTATTTCAGAATTTTCAGATGATACTGATTTTGTCAACAGAAGAAAATGTGGTAAGAACTATAATAAACCGCAAATGGGTAAAGAAAGAAGAGTCAAAAGTAATCATAATCTTTTGTATATGAAATACTGGAGGATGGTAGCAATGGAAACTGAAATATGGTAGGAAGGGGAAGGTGATGGGCTCAGTTCTTGACATGTTAAGTTCCATGCACAAACATTCATGTGGGGTTGGTCTGGTACTTAATGGAAGATGAGGCACCTCTGGTAATGTTGATCAACAAACATCAATCCAGAATCTGACGTCAGTGTCCTCACCTGGGAAACCACATTCTGACAAGTGTTTCCAGACAAGAAAGGAGGATCAGCTTCTGAGACAAGGGTTACAGGAACCTGGAACTAGCAAGGGAAAGAAGCAAATCAACTGAAATCAAAGCAGTATTTTCTCTTCTAGCTATATATCATGCTGAAATGAGTATTTTTCATTTTTGACCGCCTTCCCCTCTCCTTCCATTGCCAGCCTACAAGTTAAGATAAAAAATGATTTTAAGTCAGCTCTTCTCAAAACATATTTCTCAGAACATTAATTCCACTAGGTATAAAATAAAGGTTCCACAGTCAAATAAATTTTACAAATTTTTGTGTGTGTGTGTGTTTTTTTTTATTTGACGGAGAGAGAGATCACAAGTAGGCAGAGAGGCAGGCAGAGAGAGAGGAAGGGAAGCAGGCTCCCCGCTGAGCAGATAGCCTGATGTGGGGCTCGATCCCAGGACTCCGGGATCATGACCTGAGCTGAAGGCAGAGGCTTTAACCCACTGAGCCACCCAGGCGCCCCTTTTTGTGAGTTTTTAAAAAAGTTTTTATTTCCCTTAAGTAGTCTCTACATCCAGTGTGGGGCTTGAACTCACAACCCCAAAATCAAGAGTTGCAAACTCTACTGAACCAGCAAGGTGCCCCCAAATAAATTTGAGAAATATTATATTCGGTATTCCCCTCTTAGAGAGTACCAAGTCCTTTAGTACATTAAAGACTCCAAGAAGTCCACTCTAAATATAGTATTTAACTTTACTTAATCCAATGTTTCCCAAACTTATCTAACATTTTACGAACTTGTATTTCATGTAATGCTTATTAATCATATAGAACATACATGAGAAAAAATGTTTTAGATTCACACTTAAGAGTTTGATATATCACACATAGATTTCCTTTCACAATTACTTTAGACTGAAACTGACTCAGATGCAAAGGGATCAAACAGTCTCCTTCCTTTCCAGTGATAAACAGTATCATACCTTCAAATTCTGCGGATCAGTCATACCTTTTGGAACCTAGAATTAGAGAGTAGCAAGAACTGTGAGTATGTATACACCTCACAGAAAATATCCAGGAGCTTGTGGTTTCATGTGCGGGGAGGAAAAATCAACACATTAGAATGATTCTTCTCTTCTACCTGACTCTTTATACCAAAATGCTATGAGTAAAGCTGAGGAGGGGTTGGGCTACAACATACCTACTCTGAGCAGAGCTCTAGTGAACAGAAAAGCAAGAGGTTCTGGTAAAATAGTGAAATGTCATCCCCTGCCACCCTCCCAAGCCAATCCCATTATCCAGAAGGGAAGAATCTCTTATTCTGGACATATATTCCCCAACTCTTTCATCTTTCTTCAGAGGGTAGGGTTTCTGGGCCCTATGTTTTTTTATGTAGTTCTTAGGCATTCTGACTTTCAGTTCAGTGCTTTATCCACAACCCAACAGCAGGAAGCATGCTGACTTTGTCCACAAGAGTGACAACAGGGAGGGAAGGAATACCACCTTTAAGACTGTGAAGTTATAATAAGAGGCAGCATTGAGGGCTGGATCCAAGGTGCAGCTACTTGTCAAGTTCTTGAAGAAACGAGCACAGGTTGTACTTTTACTCTCCAGGAAACCTTAGAATGCAAAGAATTAAGGGAGTGATAAAAGAGAAAGCCTATTTTATTTTTATGAAAAGCAATTTTTAGAAAGTTTTTTTTTTTTTTTAAAGCAATTTCTAAGAAAGCCTATTTTAAGTGGAATAAAAAGGTTGGCACTTCTGTTTTGGACTCACCTGCAGGATTGTTCTCGGCACAGAGCCCCCAAGCTCCAACTCCCGCAGGCTGCCTCAGCAGGCTGATTACAGACCACGTGGGGAAGTAAGTCAAAATGGGGTCCCCAGCCTGAACAAAGTACAGTAGAAATTCATTCACAGTAAGATTGGACTGAACTCCACCAGAAAAAAAAAAGTAGAGACAAAAATTAACTCAAGGGCTTATGAATGTGGATAATACTGTCTTCTAAAAGAGTTGACCCCGTTGCAGGGGGGGTACCTCAAGGATACCTGGTCAACTGTCAGCCATGAGGGAAAAACCACACCAAACAATCCCGTCCCTATCCCCAGGCTCACCCTGTAATGAGGTGGTGGTGACTGGGTTTGGAATGTTGAAGTGAAGGATCCGCCTCCAAACTCTGTAGCCAGGGCCTCAAAGCGGGTTGCATTGACCTTTTGAAGCTTCTGGAAATAGTTTAATTCTGCTAAAATGTTTTTTAAAAGAAAAGGGGTTTAGATAAAAGTAAAATATTTATTTAGAAATACCTGGCACACCAAGTAACTGCTTTTAAAAAGTATTCTTTTTTAAAGATTTTATTTATTTTTTGACAGAGAGAAAGAGATGACAAGTAGACAGAGTCACGCGGGGGCGGGGCGGGGGGGGAAGCAGGCTCCCTGCGGAGCAGAGAGCCCAATGTGGTGCTCAATCCCGGGACCCTGAGATCGTGACCTGAGCTGAAGGCAGAGGCTTAACCCACTGAACCACCCAGATGCCCCTAAAATGTATTCTTATTGGAGCATAATACATAGCAAAGTCTGTAAATGCACTATTCCTAAGTGTACAAAAGAATTTCTACAAATTGCTACACTCCTATTCCTACTACCCAGATTCAGTTATAGAAATTTCCCCAGAAGACTCACAATCAATAATATTCCACTTTCAAAGATAACAGTTCTGATTTTTATCAAATTCTACTGCATGTATATTCTGTTAAAAGAACTACTGCTTTATTATTAAGATCTAAGGTAAGAATATGGTCGACAAATGCCAGGCAGTTCCAAGTCCCTGATACCAGGAATGTTATTAGCAATTTGTGATGAAAACAGGAGGTTCAATAATGCTCACATTTGCCCCACACCAGATAAGTCTCTAGTACAACAAAATAGTATTATTTCTGTCAGAACATGGCAAAGTTGAAAATAACACTCAGTTTGTCCTCTCCTGTTTCTTCTAAACTTCAACTGACCAGTCTCAATAATGTTTCCATCTCTCAAGTATATGAATTTGTTGTTTCTCCCCTTTCACTTCCTAATTCCTACATTTAAAATTTCAGACACTCCAAAGAGGTATATTCTGTAATAAGTCTGTACTTTATAACAATACAGAAATCTATTCAAGTTCCTGCAGTCATCTCCTTATGGCTAACGGGGATGACTGGAATTAAAGTTCTATATGGGTTTTCTGATCCACAGCCAACAGGGCATAAGAAATTGCAAATATTCACGAATAAGAGAGAAGGGGAAGGTGGAGAGGTGGAAGAGGGCAGATGACAGAAATTCAAAAAACAAAAGAAAAGTTTAAAAACAAAGGTCCAGACACAAAGCCAAATTTTCAACAAATGCTAGGTAACAAGCATAGTCAACTACTCACAATCATTCACATGGACACAAAACTGCCTAATTCCACTTGAATCCATGAAAACTCTTGAAGGAAATGGGGAATTACTCCTGAAGATTAGAGAGTTGTCCACACACACCCAACTTGAAGACCTGAGAGGAAACAGGATGAAAAACAGATACATTTAGAAGCGGAGGGTTAGGTCAGAAAAGGTGCTGCATGGATGCCAGCCAATGCCTAAGAGAGGCCTCCTTGGGCAACCACAGGACAACACAAAGGTCCTATTCTATTGGACTGCCCTACGCTGGAGAATTCGAGGAGGAACTTCACTCCTGGGGAAAAAACCAACATGATCCCACTTATAGAAATGCAAGTGGGATTTAAAAAAAAATTAAAAATTAAAAAAAGAAAAGAAAAGAAATGCAAGTGGGGGCTGAAGGCAGGAAAGATAACCCTTCCTATTTCCAAATATGACCTATACTAGGGTCCCAGTTTTTCTAGGATTCACCCGGCACACGGCAGCTCACCTCACGCTGCCTGGAAGGCAGAAGGAGAAAACTGTCCTGGGATGGAGTAGATAGCAGTCCTTGTCGCAGCAGCAATTTATGTCGCAGGTACCAGGAGTCAGGTCACAGACACAGATCGGTAAGACTATGAAGATAAAGCAGAGCGAACGGGATGAGGCTTCCCAAACTTCCAAGCGCGAATTCCCCTCTTCCAATGGCCCCACTCCCCACTTTGCGGCATTTCACTTTGTTCCCAGAATTTCAGATCGAAGTCAGTGGTTTCCATTCCCACATCTCCTCCTCTCACCTGGGAAGAGGTCTACGGTCCCATTCCCAGGTGCAGAGGGGGTCACTACCGTAGGGCCCACAGTAGAGATCCCAGGCACTGGCCAGGGAGTTTCAGAGCCCTCCGAGGAGGACTGAAGGGTCCCGCCTGGCGACCCCAGCCCCACGTCCGATGGGGTGGGCACAGCCCCAGACGGGGAGGATGAGGGCTGAGACCAGACGCCCTCGGGGACCAGCAGGAACAACACCTGCAGTAGTGCGAGCTGCGACGTGCACATGGGGTGAGACGCACACGGGGAAGTCAAGACCCCTCCTGCTCCCCAAGAGTTCAAAGTAGGCTCCAGCGGTCGCCAGGCGCGTCGCTAGAGGGTGGGAGGGAGGAGTCGCATCTCGTCTGACGTCATCCGCATGCATCTGCTTATTGGCTCAAGGCGATGGCCGAGAGCTCCTCAGCCAATAGAAATCGGCGTTGTTACAGTTCTTTCTAGCGGCTTTTAGTGCGCGCCCTCCTCCTTAGGCCAGGCCTCGCACAGCCTCCGTCGCTTGGTAACAGCCAAACTCGCGGAGGAACCCTTGCCTCTTCTCTCCGCTAGGTGACAGTAGAAGGTCATCGGAATGACAGGTCTCGCGGGGTGCCGCGCCGGCGTCGCGGCCCTCGGGACCGAGCTCTTCATCCACAGAGGGAAACCCCAGAGGCTGGAACCAGAATTGCGTATCTTTCCCACCACGGATTCTAAAGATGAGAAATTCTAAGGAAGGATAATGATCTCCGAGTGGAAAATACACAAAAGTTCACATACACATAATAAAAAGTTCCCTCTAAATATTGTAATTTTTGGAAACAGAAAGATTAGGCTTCTTAAATTTTAACGATGAGAAATATAAAAAAATGTAAACCTCAATAAATGCTGCAGTCTTTAACTGTAGACTTCATAGTTGTTATTAGAGAAAATAGAGAAGGGGGTGAGAAATGGAGTGGGGAAAAAATGTGAGAAGCTACGAAGAGAAAGAGTAAGGAAAGGAGAGGTTTTGTAGGAGCTGAAGGGAAGATAAGACGCAGGAATGGAAATAGTCAAGGGATAGAGAAGACAACTTATATTTTTGCCATTAAAATTGCCACTTGCTGTAACCATTCTCGGGAAGTTTTGGTCTTTCCCAGGAGTGGCGGCATTTTCTTCCGATTCTCTAAAGCACTACTGTCCAATAGAACTAATGCAGTGTTGGAAATGTTCTCTGTCTTCCCTTTTCAGTTTGGCTGCCATCGCTATAGGGGGCTATTCGCGCCCTGGAAATGTGGCTCATGTGACTAAGGAGTTGAATTTAAAATTTTTAGTTGATTCCAAGTTAAATAACTACATGTGACTACAAGCTACCATATGGGGTACTACAACTCTGGATGATCAAAATTTTGCTCCCGCTAGACCCCGTGTTTTCCTCAGTCTGCACAGGTCTGACATCTGGATTATTTCAGTTGCTTGTTCACAGATATAAATTGAGATCTGTTAAGAGTTGTCTAAAATCTGGTATACTTACCTAAAACCTAGCCAATATCTCCTTTTCCAATGAATCACTTAGGCAGATAAATTTTAGGACCCCTGACCTTTCTCACGTTCTCTGACAAGGTATTGACTTCTAACGTTTTGAAGTCAGTAGCTAAATGTATCTGTGTTATAAATGTTCTTAAATATTTATTTATTTACTTATTTAATTTTTATTGAAGCATGATTAACATAAATGTTTCCAGTATACAACATATTGATTCAACAATTCTATATATTACCCCATGCTCACCATGGTAAGTGTAACCACCATCTGTCACCCAGAAACATTATTACGATATTATTGACTATATTCCCTATGCTATACTTTTCATCTCTGTGACTTTATTTTAATGCTGTAAGTCAAACAGATTTCCATATGATTGTATGATGGATGGCTATAAGAGATATGTATATTTGTGTTTGGACATAAAGCTTTTACATACCTTACTAGTAATTTCTGTCGGAAAGGACAAAATTCAAATTATTTAAGTTATATCTATATTTACTAGAATATAAACTCCACAAACCAGGGGATTTTGTCTGTTTTGTTCATTGATATGTCCCACGACTAGAGCAATACCTAGGACATGTTAGATGTGCATTAAATATTTTTTCAAAAGATCTTTTTGTTGAACTCTTTGGGTTTAACACAAGAATATTTAGAGTTTGTATTATTTCAGGATTCCATTTATTTACATTAAATTTCTATTGTACAACCACCTGGAGATTATTTTAGATTTAAAAATTTGGAATTTACACTGTAACAATCAAGGTAAATCAATGATATATTATTCCTGAATTTATTAGTGTTGGCAAAAGAATCTGTTGCTTGAAGTAATTTTAGGGTTGAATAAAGGGAAATAACATTTCAGGATTTTTTTTCCATCTCAGGATCTTTCTGAATTGCTTTTCCTTATTTTTAATTTTAGCACTTAACAATTTTTTTTTATTATTAATTATTTTTATTAACATATAATGTATTATTTGCCCCATGGGTACAGGTCTGTGAATCATCAGGTTTACACACTTCACAGCACTCAACGTATCACATACCCTCCCCAATGTCCATAACCCCACCACCCTCTCCACCCTCCCCTCCCCGCAGCAACCCTCTGTTTTGTGAGATTGTGGTTTGTCTCCCTCCCTATCCCATCTTGTTTCATTCTTTCCTTTCTACCCCCCAAACTCCCCACTCTGCCTCTCAAATTCCTCAGATCAGGAAGATCATATGATTGTCTTTCTCTGATTGACTTATTTCACTCAGCATAATACCCTCTAGTTCCACTGATGGTGTTGGAGATGGCAAGATTTCATTTCTTTGATGACTGCATAGTATTCCATTTTGTGTGTGTGTGTGTGTGTGTATGTGTGTACAATAAAGATGTAGTATATATATATATACCACATCTTTATCCATTCATCTGTTGATGGACATCTAGGTTCTTTCCATAGTTTGGCTATTGTGGACATTGCTGTTACAAACATTCAGGTGCACGTGCCCCTTCGGATCACTACATTTGTATTTTCAGGGTAAATGCCCAGTAGTGCGATTGCTGGGTTGTAGGGTAGCTCTATTTTCAACGTTTTGAGGAAACTCCATGCTGTTTTTCAGTTGCTGCACCAGCTTGCATCTCCACCAACAGTGTAGGAGGGTTCCCCTTTCTCCGCATCCTCACCAGCATCTGTCATTTCCTGTCTTGTTAATTTTAGCCGTTCTGACTGGTGTGAGGTGGTATCTCATTGTGGTTTTGATTTGTATTTCCTTGATGCCGAGCGATGTTGAGCACTTTTTCATGTGTCTGTTGGCCATCTGGATGTCTTCTTTGCAGAAATATCTGTTCATGTCCTCTGCCCATTTCTTGATGGATTATTCCTACAAACATACAACAGCAACAACAGAAAGAGTATTTTTGCTCAACTATAACAAAAATGAGGGGGCAAGTAACTATTTTTAAAAATTTGTTAAGTGCTAAGTTCTTTATAGATTTTGCACTTAACGGATTTTTTAAGAACAGTTACTTTCCCCCTCATTTTTGTTATAGTTGAGCAAAAATACTCTTTCTGTTGTTGCTGTTGTATGTTTGTAGGAATGTGATACAGAACTCTCAATTATCTTGGGATCTAATATTAAAATCTAAAAGATAATTTTGTTGAGGGAGAATGGAATTTATTCACACATGTCCTGCAAATACTAGTTTTAACATGGAAACCAAGTCTTAAATTGAAATAGCTTAATATGACATCATTTCAGAAGCAGATATTTCTAAATTAGATCATATGATACTAGCAGCTGTGTTTGCTATTAAAGAGTTCAGTATGTACTTAGAGATCAACTGAGATTGAATCAGGATGGCCAACTGAGAGCGAGTTCTAGCCTCTAGCCTCTCCCAACTCCTCCTCTCTTTCCCAAATCTAAAAACTACAAAAACCTTACATGGGTACACAAACTCACGTGCATACCTTAATACTGAAAAACATGAAGGGGTGCTCTCAATGGAGCAGTCTTTATGAGAATCCTTGAAAAATAGGAAGCAGATGGGATTGGATTGAAGGGAGACAAACAAAAGTTGCATAACAGAGGCTTACTGCAGAAATGCAAGGTGGTTCTTGGGGATGTTCTAGATACACAGGAAAAAAAAAAACAACTATTGGCATCAGTAGGGCCCTTGGACAATGTGTGTTATTGATTAAGGAACTGTTCTAGGAAGAGACAGCTCTCCACCTTACTCCCACTTGCACATGCAGTGGGTAGCAAAAGAACTTACTCCTAAAGCGGGGAGGGGCAGTCCATGTCAGTACTTTTGCTGCAAAGCTGCGATGGCTTTTATATGTGGGAGGAAGAGAGAGACTTCACATCTTGAAGACTGATATGAGCTCACCTTGGGAAGCTGCACATGCAGCATTCCTCCTTCAACACCCTCAAGGCAGAATGAAAAAGAGAACATCTACAAAAAATATGGGTTATAAAGACATTATTACCTTCTACAGAGAATAGTAAGACCTGAACCTGGCTTTTTCAAAGATTTTATTTATTTGAGAGAGAGAGAGAAAGCATGAGTGGGGGAAGGGGCAGGGGGTGAAGAAAGAGGGAGAAGACTCTCCACTGAGCCGTGAGCCCGATGCTGGGCTTGATTCCAGTACCCCAAGATCATGACCTGAGCTGAAGGCAGTCACTTAACCAACTGAGGCACCCAGGGCCCCCATTGAAACCTGAATTTTTAACAGAAACGAGGAAAGCCATAAAAAGTTGAGTAATGTCTTAGAAAAAGCCACATTATAATTCTTTTTTTAAAGATTTTATTTATTTATTTGACAGAAAGAGATCACAAGTAGGCAGAGAGGCAGGCAGAGAGAGAGAGGAGGAAGCAGACTCCCTGCCAAGCAGAGAGCCTGATGCGGGACTCGATCCCAGGACCCTGAGATCATGACCCAAGCCGAAGGCAGAGGCTTAACCCACTGAGCCACCCAGGTGCCCCGCCACATTATAATTCTATACCTAGCAAAATATCCTTCAGAAATGAGGATAAGATAAAAATGTGTTTAGAAAACAAACATTGAGAAAGAAGATCACCACCAACAAACCCACACAAAGAATTGCTAAAGGGAGTTATGAAGGCTAAAGGAAAAATGATCCCACATGGAAGCGGAGAAATGTAAGAATATGAGCAATGAGAAAAATAAACACAAGATAAATACATAAACTCAACTGTATTATAAATATCATCTAAAATTTTAGATGGTAAAGTTTATAATAACAAAATATTACATACCTAAGATCTCTGCATATCAAACTGTATATGATTTCTGAGA